CCTCACATCCACAAAATTATTAACTTTATTCTGGGGGAGAGAAATGAAAGTTTATATAAATTCATTTCACATTTTAAGAGGTCTGCAGTATTGCAAAGTTGTGATTGAGAGGTTATGTTGGGGGAGGGGGGCGATGACAACTTCCTCATTGGCTCAAGGGGGCGATTCGTTCAAAAAGGTTAAGAACCACTGGTTTAAACGAAAGCTTTTAGTACAACTACTTCTTCATCAGTACAAATACTACTTCACTACTTCTCCATATATTTTTTTTTCTTTACTCTTTACAGCATTAGATCCAATCATGACCTTACTATAGACAGTCTGCTGCCTGAAGCAAGAGGCTGACCAAATGGCATGCAGCAAAAAAAGAAAGGGCTCTCGAACTGCAGATGTGGCAGCCATGTTCTCGCTCAGATTGCTGCCTTGGGGCCGACTGTGCCGTTGGTCCAGCCCATTCCTGCAATTCCTGGTCTTGAGTGTTGTGACATTTGGCGTGATCGCTCCGTTCACTTGCCGAGAGCTCCTGCATTCTTATTTCTACGTGCGCGGTTGGTACCTGAACTCGATGACCCAGCATTTTTTAAAGCAGAGCCAAGAGGAGGGTTTGAGTGCTCTCCGTTACTTTGAGCGACTGCAGAATACATCAGAGAAGTTGACCAAAGAGGCCTTGCAGCCATGGTTGCTGATTGCCATCGTTACTGTTCAAAGGCACCCGGAATTCCACTATGTCCTTCAGGTAGCAGCCCGCTTCCACCGCCTGCTCCAGGAATGTGGCCCTCCTTGCCAGCACCACCAGCTCTTATTCTGTAATGTGGAAACAGATCCCAACAACCACCGGGATGCTAAGCTGCTTGCCACTTTCTTTGCTGTGGTGAACCACTACAGTGGTCAGGAAAATTTGGACCTCTTTCCAAACCGTTTTGAGAAGGAGAAGCAAGATTACACCTACTGCCTTGAGAAATCACTTCAGCTCTATAAACCAGAATATGTCCTGCTGGTGGAAGATGATACCCTACCAGAAGAGGAATTCTTTCCCGTCCTCCATCACTTGTTACAGACACGATTCTCAAAGCCCCACCTCCGAGATGCCCTTTATATCAAACTGTACCATCCAGAGAGACTTCAACATTACATCAACCCAGAACCTATGAGGATCCTGGAATGGCTGGGATTAGGCCTGTTTTCAGGATCCTTCTTGGGCTTTGTCTACTCCTGGGCATCCAGCCGCTCCAGCCTTAGTTGGTCCATCATGTTGTTTTTCGCCCTATACAGCATGCTGCTAGTAGAGCTGGTTGGGCGCCACTACCTTTTGGAGCTTCGACGCCTGGCGCCCTCCTTCTACAACGTTGTGCCTGTGACCGAATGCTGCACTCCGGCCATGGTGTTCTCTGCCCCCTCAGCACACCGTGTATTGGGCTACATGAAAGAAGTTCAGTGTCGCCTAGGTTTTGCCAAAGATACTGCACTTTATTCACTGCTGCGTACCAAGGGCGAGCACGCATTTGCGGTTGAGCCCAACCTGGTGAGACATGTGGGGATGTTTTCAACTCTCAGGATGAATGAAAACCCAGAGCTGCTTTGACTTTCTCCGTATTTCCCAAGGGTTGAACCAGACGAGCAAAAGCTTGACACGAGATATTTACTGAGCTTTGCTGAGCTAAGTCATCCCCAGTTGCAAGCCGGGGATTGAATCAAATCAATTGATTACAGTCACTGTTGTTCTGGAAATAAGCATGGGATTCAGTTTTCCAGCATTCTATTTTAAATATATATATATATATATATATATATCTTAAATCAGCATTCCCCACACGATGCCCTGCCATTGTGAGGTAGTAATTCCAAAAACCCCAGCCAATGTAGCTGGTAGTAGTGCTGGCTATGAATTCTAGGTTGTGAAAGTTAGCTCTGATCTCTATCTTACAGATAAGAAGAGTTTCTAAGTTTGGTAGAAATACCAGAGACGGTGCTTTAAATTTACTGTATCAACTTATAAATTATTTTAAATGGTTCTTTCCCATAATCATGAAGCATTAACTGAAAAGAGAAACTATTTTTTTTTAAGTAGTCTATGTTTTCTGAGCTGATGCCTTTGAGATAACATTGGCTGCAAAATTGCTAACACTGCCCCTTCGGTCTTCTGGAGGCTTGCAGTCCTAACAGATCGAAAGGATGCCAGCTTGGAAAAGACTGGTCTCCATTCAAAGACAAATGATCATTTTCAGTGAAGGTGTTAGGGCTGTGAATGTCTTAATGTTTACTGCTTTCTTGTTTCAAATCTTTCATCTCTGCCACTTCTGCCTGAGCCATTTAAGGGTGCTTTGGTGCATATATCTCCTGAGTATCTTGAAGAGCCCTTGCAAATGGCAAACTCTCCTTTGCATGTAGAAATTTTTAAGTTAGGAACCAGGTAAGGACGCTCAATTTGAAGCGTCCAAAACGGCTGGAGGTAGCTGAATTGTGCGACATCCTAAATCTGAGTTCTGTTGGAGTTGGCAGGGCTGAGAAAATGAAAAAGCCCATTAGATTCAATGAAAAGTCTAATGATGCTAATATTGTGGACGTAACCGTAGCTGCAGAAGGTTTGTTGTGCTAAAGTGTGGCTCTTCCTTGCCCTATCTATTCTTGTCTCCTATATTAGTTACCCTGCTGATATGTCTTAGCCAAAGGCTCAGATCACTCCATTAACAGGTTTCTGGTATCAGCCTATAACCAGAAAAATCTAATCCTAAAATCTTCCATCTCTGAATTAGAATTGCCCTGTCAATTGCCAGCTAATTTTTGTCTTACCGGTTTCTTAACCATTTCTTTTCCATTTTGTTTTCCCAAGACAGGAAGCCCTGGAAATATTTCCTACAGCTGCCCATCCCAATCCCTTGCTTTCTTTTGAAATGTACTGATGGTATTTAAAAATCAAATGCACACCATTCAAAACCACTGTAAAGGAAATGTAACATTCTCACTTTTCTTTATTTCTTCTGCATTTGCTACCTCCTACTTCACGTATTATTCATACTGTTCCTTGTCAATGGGCTTATTTAAAAATACAAGTGCCTTATTTAGATGATACATAAACACTTTTATAGAGAAGCATTTTCATCCTTTTCTTCCTCCTCCTCTTCCTCCTTCTCTAACTCTGGGAATCTGTGAGAAGGGCAATGCTTTTTCCAGCCTACTTGGGGGGAAAAACTTGAACCTAGAAATGTATATTTATTTTCATGAGAATTCAACTCTAATGAATTAAAAAAATAAATAATAAACTATCCTCTGTATAGGGGTCTAGGAACAGTTGCTGTATTATTCCAATGTTCTGACTATTGCAGTGCCTTCAGTTTAGAAAATGAAGACAAAATGATAATAGGCAGGGGTTTCTAGGAGCATCCATGTAGAATAAAAACAATTCATACTCCAAAAATATCTTTGGGGGAATCTAGTCAATAGTAGTAACTGCCAACACATTACTAGGCTGCATTAACAAAGGGATAGAATCAAGATCACGTGAAGTGTTAATACCACTTTACAATGCCTTGTTAAGGACACACTTGGAATACTGCATCCAGTTTTGGTCACCACAATGTAAAAAAGATGTTGAGAATCTAGAAAGAGTGCAGAGAAGAGCAACAAAGATGATCAGGGGACTCGAGGCTAAAACAAAGAATGGTTGCTGGAATTGAGTATGTCGGGTTTAATGAAAAGGACTAGGGGTGACATGAAACCAATGTTCCAATATCTCAGGGGTTGCCACCAAAAGAGGGAGTCAAGCTATTCTCCAAAGCACGTGAAGGCAGGATAAAAAGCAACGGATGGAAACTAATCAAGGAGAGAAGCAACCTAGAACTAAGGAGAAATTTCCTGACAGAACAATCAGTGGAACAACTTGCCTCCAGAAGTTGTGAATGTTCCAACAATGGAAGTTTTTAAGAAGAGACTGGACAGCCATTTGTCTGAAATGGTAGAGGGTTTCCTGCCTGAGCAGGGGGTTGGGCTAGAAGACCTCCAAGGTCCCTTCCAACTCTGTTATTCTGTTCTATTCCTATTCCATTCTGTTCTACTCTACTCTACTCTACTCTACTCTACTCTATAGTATTACACAGCATGGCTAAGTAATACCCCTGATCAAAATCTATTTAGTTGTTTATTTCTTGATTGATTGAATTTCTATGCCACCCATCTCACTAATACAATGACTCTGTATTAGTTATTTGATAATGGAAGTTTTTTAGTTTCTGATTGTTTGACCCTCATGAGCTTTTGCCAGGGCTTTGCTCCCGAGCACCCTGCCTATTAATCCCTACATATTGAAGTGGATAAAGGTTGACAGGCAAGTTACTGAGTCCTTTGGACAGCAAAAGGGCACAACCTATCAAGTCAGCCCTACAGACCCAGGACACAGAAAATGGGTAGAGACTGAGCAGCAGCATATGCTTGGCAGAGCATCTTTGCTAATGATAGTGTATGCCACCCTGGGCAATACAGACAGAAAGCAGCCAACAAAAGCTGGGAAGATCCCACCCTCTAATGTATGATCAGCTCATTTAGTGCTAAAGTACCACAAACTAGGCAAATAGCAAGGGGTTAATTGGGAGAAAATACAGTGCACCACCTCAGTTTTAGTTCAGTTTTGTGCTTTGGGATTGGGATGAATGGAAGGTTGTATCATGTGGTGTAGTGTTCTTCAAGAATGATTGGCGAGGCATCCTTGAGTCAAAATTAGATACCAGTATGTAGATTGTACCTGTAGCCTAAATTCTAGGCAGTTGCAAAGTTGACTAGATTACACATGAGCTGCCCTGATTGCTTCAAAGAATTATATCTATATCTGTGCTAGAAGGTTTCTGAAACACACGCTTTCCTCCCCCACACAAGCACTGCCATTGTGCTGTGGATTTGTGCAATATACCTGCAGGACCTGTAATCAATGTCAGGCTGTAACCAACAGGAAATTAGATTCAGAGGTTTTCTTCAAGACTCTGCTTGTAGCTGCCTGGAACTGATTCTGGAATTATTTGTATCCTCAGTATGTTCTCTGCCATTGAATTACAGCCATGCCCACAAGCAGCTCTTGAAGTACAAGATCCAATGCAGCAGCTCAAAAAACACAAACTTACATAAATGTAAGTCCTTTTTTTAAATGAGCATATTGGTGCTTTACAACTATTTGATTCAAACTCATTTTTGGAGATAGCTATCTTGGGCAAGGAGTGGCCCAAGATAGTGATGAAATGTGCTTTTGCAACACAAATACAAAAGAGCGAGGCTTGCATGGTACCATAACACAGCATTATTGTGGAAACATCATAATGCTTTCAAAATTATTGTGATTGCAAGAACGGTGCAAAACTAAAGTAGGAATGACTCCTTGCATCAAATGGAGTTTCCATTAATAAGCTTTCTCACCAGCTCTCCAGAATGTCAACGTTTCTCAACAGCAATACAGTAACTTCAACTGCTATTGGAGATTAATGCAGTGACCCAGTTGACAGAAGCAATAGCATAGAGTCACAGAGATGTGGCAACCATTTGGGAGTGATACAAAGACCTTGCATGAAGGTGACCTAAAATAAAAC